CTAACTGAAGATTACCCGTTGATACTGAGTCCACATAACAACTGGATTATTGGTATCACTCAACGACCATCAAAAGGGGACTATTACTTGGTGTTTTATTACGAAATGCACTCACTTTTCAACAAATTTATTCAAATTATAAATTTCTCTGATTTCGACATAAAATTTATCCCATTTGATAACTTTGATAGTATTCAAGAGATTGGATCTGGAGGCTATGGAACAGTCTATATTGCCAAATATAAACAGTTAATCAACCCAAGTCAACATGAATATGTTTCCTTAAAAAGGCATAAGCGATACTACCAATCATTCGAACTATTTATGTCTGAGGTAACCTATTTTTTAATTGTCATAAATTTCAAACAAAATAGAGTATTTGCTTAAATTTTTGTTCTTATTTAAAACAGGTCAGGAACCATGCCAGCTGCAGTAATCATGACTATAGGTTTCTTGAAATATATGGCATCACGCAGCAACCACAGTCAAAAGAATATATGATAGTGATGCAACATGCGAATGGTGGTAATCTTTATTCCTATTTGGATCAAAACATTAATTATTTGACGTGGAAGACGAAAATAATGTGTTTAAGAGACATTGCGGAAAACTTAGCCACTATTCATGAAAAAGGGCTTATACATTGCGATCTCCATGGGGGAAATATACTTTTCGAAAACACGTCGCACGGAAAAGACTGGATTTCGGGTGTACAGGCTTATCCCTACATTTGCGATCTTGGACTCTCAAAACCGGTAAATTTGTCCAGGTCTGACTCCCCAACCATTCAGGGAGTTTTAGCATACATCGCACCAGAAGTTCTTCTTACTCGCACTTTTACTCAAAAGTCGGATATTTATTCCTTTGGCATTATTATGCATCAAATGGCAAGCGGTGATCGACCTTATAAAGAATGGTCGTCTGATGACTATTTGGCATATCGTATCCGCGAAGGATTGCGGCCACCCTTGCCCGAGTCAATGCCCAAAGAATATGAAAAACTTGCAAAAATGTGCTGTGATGCTGATAGTGATAAGCGTCCAACCGCTGAAGAAATCTACGAGAATCTCCACCGGCTTGTTCTTGAAGTAGAAAATGATAAATCTGATGACAATATATCAATATGGAATAAAGTCTACACGAATGACCATCTAAAACCTCTAACCATGTTTGAAAAAGAAAGTAAATACTCTAGTAGATTGTTACCTACGGGAAGTTGGTATGAATCAAGAAACTGTTGGTATCCTCATTCAACTGTCGCAGGTAGGAATGGCAAATTAAATTTCTTAGTATTGTGTGCAAGTTGAATTTCAAGAATGTTATTAACTTTTTAATAACAATTTAGTGACTATAAATTTCACATAAGTTGCCGCCCAAAGTTTGATTGTCTTTTACGATCACATGTTTCCGATAATATATTTATTTCATAACGTCAAACTTTTAATTACTATTATTATGATATTTTTAATAAGATTAGGGAAATAAAATAACTCTTCATTTATGCCACGTTATCGTAATTATACATAGTCAAACTCAATATAAGATAAAGTCACTCCTAAGATAAAGAATTTTTCCGCCCCGAATTTTTGTATTAAAAATACCTCAATAATATAAATTTTATTATAAAACCTCGATAACTCTGTAAGATAAAGAAAATTTTAATAAAGATTTTCCTCTTTAAATTATATAATTTACTATTTATAGAATAAGTGTAATACCAACCATTGATTTCGAAAACCACTGCTGGTCCTTCTATTAAGAATAAACGTAAGAATATATCTATCTCTGAATGCACACTCTCTGAATGCACACTTTCTGAATGCACACCCTCTCTAAATGCACGCCTTACTTTATTCCCATAAATTGCACGGTTTTTTCATTTCACCATATTATCTCTAAATGCACGCCCGTGATTTTCATGTGATTTGTACTGTGTTACATTTGATCATAATGTAGCTTTGCTCTGGTTTACTAACTTTATGTAGTCAAAATTTCTGTCTTGTAAAACCGCCATTCGTTTCTTCAATATCTGGAAGATGTCTCCGGGACAAGTCTACATAAAATCCTTGCATCCATTATTTCGGGAAAATAGTATAAATTGTTTGTTCCCATTATTATTATGCAGAATCCTCCCCAAGCAAAGAGCTTTGTTCGATTCTTTGACGTAGGTTTAAGGTTAGCGGTTTTTAGATTGTTCGAGTTTTTTAATGTTATCATAAACCATATTGTGGGAACAACAGTTTATGAATCTCCACACCATCCCTAACGCCTTGGTCCCACAATTGTTGCATAGTTTGACGATTGATCTCCTGTCTGGAAGTCTTTGTTTTAATTGATGTTTGTTGAATAAGTTTTGGAAATGTTAAAAATTTAAGAAACACTAGTAGTGAAAAATAGCTATAAACAAGCGGTTCAAAAGAAAACAAATATAAGCTGCCTTATCTGACGATCATTTTAAATGTACATATATACGATTGAATGTTACAAAAATATTCCGGTATTGCACGGTCGAAATTTAATGTTTATTGCATTGGAATTACAGATTATAAAATCGGCTTTAAAAAGGCGTGTGTACACCTGGGGTGTAAGCTTATTTGTGTATGCCCCGGGGGGTGTAATATATTCTGTACATCTCAGGGGTGTATTAGCATAATAATAATCTTGACATGCGTCAATGCAGTTTCCGTTTGTGTACAACCTATGATTGTGATGTAAACAATATTCCCAAATAATATTTTATTTGGCTTGAAACCCCCAGAGTGTACGTTAAGGAGACTCATATTTATCATTTTCGTTTTTTTGCATAGTGAATTTTATTAACTTCTATACAAATGAGAAACATTATTGTAACAGGTGCTATAATCAAAAATTGCAAGGATGTCGTCAATGAAATTCTATGTGTTAATTATAAAATCATGCGCTCTATACTTAATTAAATGTTACTCTATAATAACGTAAAATTCTTATTTGTTTTAACCCCTTGCTATGCATAAGTTAATTAAAATACTCTCAATTGAGTAAACGGTGTATCGACATTTGGTTGCGAATGTTTTCTTCTTCCTCTTTCATTTGATACCAGGAATATTTTATCATTCTCGGGGTGCGACCAGGAATCTTTGATGCGATTCTAATCCACCTAGATCCATGAGTACGATGTAATTCTATAAGCATATCCCGCTCGATGTGGGTTAATGGCGTCATATTAACTATAAAATAATTACGAAAACAAGTTATCAGAAATCACGTAACTATTGTTTGCAATATAAATACGAAGATGCTTACTTTGAGGACTTAATGCACTATTCCATCTAAAAGTTTTACAAGAAGATGTTTTGACAAATTATCATTATTAGTCATTATTATTAGTTGTTTATATGTAAAGTCTCCGTATTTAATATTTAATATTGTGCAATAAAAAACATTGCGTGTATAACACCCAATCCTACCTCCCAAAACACTGCTTAGCAGTTTTAGTCCTCAAAGAACGGGATAGAGATACCCATGCAGAACCATGCGTATTATAAAATTCAGTGACAATAATGTCTTCCTGTATATTAAAATAGCAATAGTATAACTTAATGGGCATGGATCAAGGTTAATTTATTATATGATGTATATATAATACCTGAAGACACCAATTTCTTTCCGTGAAATCCATAATGTCTTTCTGTATAATGCTACGCCAAAATCTGGTAAGCGTGTTAGTTATACTTGTAGCGAGCCAAGTAGAAACTGACGTGTAGACTTTAAAAAGTAACCGTAATTTTATGGCAAGCAGTTATATTTATATTTATCAGATTGATCTGGTAGGGGCCGTGAATTCGAAACGTGGGATGGCCACAAAAACGAAGTAGTTGACTAATAAACTACTTATAATTTGCATGAAACCAATGAAATCAGCGAACATCTGATTAATGAAAATCATGCTCGAACATTGCATCTATAATGAAACGTCAAAAGTCTTGTTAAATTATTTGGCGATCTGTTTTATCGCACAAGCGGCGTCAATTATTTTATTGAAGACACAAAGCAACGCATTTACTTATAATAAATATTACGCCGGCTTTTCCACCCCTTTCTGTTTCATAATTTAACCATTCAAATACGATTTATAGGTGTGCCAAATTATTTGTAGCATTACCACAATAGATGATGTCATATTAGATATGAACCCCATTATAGTTTTGTTAAAGTTGATAGCTAGCAAGTCAATACTTGTCGAGATTTAATTTGACGTCAAATAAATAAGTTGTGAAATTTTTGTACAACCAATCGAACAACAAGATAATAATAGTAACCAGTCTTATTGTTTGCCATCTTTGTAGCTAAAATACAATTCGCTTATCAAGACAAAGATAGATTCGGCTTGTAAAATGAAAAATACAATAACAAAGACTTTGATAATCCTGTAAACATGTTTGACCATCAAATACAATAAATATTTATTGCTGTCATGGCCGAATATGGATCAGTATCGTTAATGAGACTAATTTGCAAAGACGCATAACTAATCAATTGCTACTTCACAAGGTAAATAATATTGGCAAGGAGTGTATCAGTCTGGTTATAAAATTTATTGTAATCAATCTAAGACAAAAAAAACTGTAAAACAGAAGGTTTGACGAAGATATGATTTACACTTTGTTATTATGGGGTGGGGTAACGATTTACAATGCATGAATTTTAAATTTGTTCTAAATATAATTATGTCATACAAAGGTGAACGTGCGACAAAATCCTTTTTAAAAAACAGTTTACTTAATATTAATCACAGTAGTTACTGTAGACAATATACAGTAAATCATTACGAACTTACAATTGGATATAGCAGCAATATTAATTATCACCTATGATGTCAAAATGTGACATCTTAATTATCATGCAATAAATTACGTATTACGGTCACAAACTTATGAAGGTAAAACAAGAAGTTTGTGGGTATCATCATCCAAACATTCGCTATTTTTATCGATTTATTTTTAGAACTGAAACATAATGTTATTGAGTGAATTTCTCAGTTGTGTGTGTAATTGAGCGAGTGGTGTAATGCGTTCGGATTAGTTGCAAATGTCATACAGTTACTGTTATATAGACCTAATCGCACACCAACAATAAATTGCCTAGCGAAGGTCTAATGGTAAATTTACATTTGAAGGCCTGCTTCGCTACTCCAAATCTCGCGCTACTCAACAAATCACTTATTATTATTATTATTATTACGTGGGTTCGGTAAATGGCCGGTTCCATACCCCAGATATGAAATAATCATCTGATCTACGCATATTTTTTACATTAAGCAGAAGCAATTATATATGTACATATACAGTATATTATAAATAACGTACGATTGACAGTAACTAACAAGTATTACCAACTCTCTATATCTCTGACATCCTTCCGAGTTAATTGTCTTTCACCTTATTAGTTCACTGCTTTTCAAACAGGATACCTTTTCCTTCCACACGTTCTTAATAGTATCAAACACCTTCCAGAATCTCAATGTATTATCCTCGCCACCGGCCCCAGTAACAATATCCTCCCCATTTGGCGACATGGCGAGATACAACACGCGATACGTATGCCCTTTCAATGTAATGATTTTCTCCATGTCTGGATATTTCCACACGACAATGCTGTTTTTCCACCATCCATGTGATGACACTAGTTCATTCTCGCTTTTCGACCATTCGATGTTGCACACTTGCGCTTTTGCGTTGTGACTACCGAGCAATCTGCCGTCCGATGTATTCCAGAAACAGATTTTGCGATCGAGATGACCGCCACCACTGGCAAGCACGTTGTGCGTGTGTGGGCTCCATGAAAGAGCACGGACGGCTGCTTTGTGATGAGTGAGAGAGTAGATGCGTGTAGGATTTGTGCGGTTCCATATGAAAAGTTCTCCTGCATTGCCGCCGCTGGATAGATGGGTACCTTCGAGGTTCCATTCTAGGCCGCATACCTGGGGAAAAATAATAAATAGTTGCGAATGCGTATGTTATCAATTGTCATCTGCATTCTGTATGTTTGAAATTGTCACGCGGTTTCTAAAAAACAAACAGAATTCTTTGCCGAGCACACCTCTGAGCAATGACCAGGTAGTATTCTGAAACAGTCGGCAGGTGATCTCTTATCACTATGAGCAATAAACCGATCGTTACTTCCTGAGGTTATTACACTCTCATTCCATGCAAGACAACCTAAGGCAGTGTAGTGTACATATCAGCGGTTTGTATAAAAACTCTATTACGGATAGACAACACGTCTTTCTTTCTTTCTTTCTTACCCACTCGTCCCTGATGCGTCTTCATACTCTTTACAAGTTGAGAAGTACGAGCATCCCAGAGCTGTACCAACCCATCTACGGTACCAACGGCCAGGGTATGTCCCTTTATAGAAATCGAACATAAGTATTATAGATTTTCACTGCCAGATTTTCCTGGACCTGCTTGCCTTTTTAATCCAATTGACTGAAGTAATTTTATTTGATGATTCTAATTCACATAAGCGAGTCATCTATAGAATACGATTACGATGGTGAAATCTTTCTGATATATATATTCGGTTAGTAACATCTCACCTGAGTTGTGCTTTTCGACCACAAGTATACGCTGGAATCTACACCAATGCTCAATACATCGTCTGATGACCAGTCAAGAATGCTCATGTAAAAATCATCCTATAAAATTATAATATTAGCACAATGGAAGGTTAAGTGACTCATTACGCGTATTGACACACTTGTCCTCTCCCTCTCCATAAATGCGTAATTGTCATATACCTTTAAGCCCAGTTGATCACAGAAAGCAAGCATTTGATAGGGCACAACACTAATATTTCTCTGTTTCTTCAGCGGTCTACGCATCAGTCTTTCCACATTCCATGAAAACGGGGTCAATGAGTAGGCATCCCTCTTGGGCGTATCGATGATGTTGATTCGTCTCTCTTTCGCCCTGAATTTGAATAACCTCCTGCTAAAATAATCTTCGTTGCGTGGAAGCATAGCCTGAACGATTACAGCTCGACGGAATTCATCGCCATTGCTATTGATTTGCTGAATGGGAGACCAAGAAGAACTGTCACGGCGTCTTTTAGTGGGCAGATAATCGGAAGATATTGGCGGTTGATGAAAAGCAAAGGTTACAGACAAGTCGGAAGAATTAAGTGGGATAAATCTAAAAAATGCGCGACATGTGCGTAAGAGAATTTCATGTCATGAGTTATTGTTAGTTGACTAGTTAGTAAGATAGTTAACCATTTCTGTTGTTGTTAATGCCTGTTTGTTAATTTGTTTACTATGCACACACGTACCTATCGCTGTAGGTTATTGTGTCGTTAGCGCATTTGTCAAGTGATGTGCGTTCAGCATCACGGTTGATAAAAGTATAGTGATCCATTTGTACTTGATTATATTGTTTATTAGACGTTGTTCAGAATATATTTATAGTCTATCTATTATTATTTCTTTTTGATTATAACAGAAAGAGTGTGAAAGAAATGAAAAATCGAGTGTGAAGGAATATATTGTTTTTTTATAAGTGCTACATGCATAATTAGCTACATAACCCGCATAGATTTCAATCTCAGAATTCTGCATTGTAGCTAAAACAACACAGACGCGTTTTATTACGCGTCATCTGATATGCAAACTTATCGTCGTCGTTTTACTTCTTCTTGATCCTCCTCTCCAGTTGTTTCTGCAAGTATTTTTTTCGGCTGTGTCCTCTCGTATGCCTTTCCCACCCATTTTGGATCCTCTTCTGATATCCTGGCATATCTGAGAAGAACTGCACGTGGATCCTCATCTATTAATGGGAAAATGACAAAAGTCAATAAAAGAGTATACGAAGAAAAAAACGCGCAATCATTATGCATATGATAGCTTGCACGCCTACCTCTCGTAGTGTCTTTGATTAATTCTTTCATTATGTGCTGAGTCAGACTACTACCAATCTTACCACCTTTACCAGGCCCACTAACCGGAAGGTCTAATAGGACATTAACATGTACGTGTTAATATAATAATTATTTTCGAGAAACACAAACATTCCATACATTACCTGGTCTCCTCGAAGCAGCGGGATCTTTTCTTTCCTTTTCTCTCTTTCGTTTTGTCGTTTTTGGTCTATCGTCTCTGAAAAGACTAAGCGAGTGTGGTGCAATGATAGGTCTTTCGAGATCGTAATCGTCTACAGCTCTCTTCTTGGGTGTCCTCGAGACACATAGCTTTGCGCCGCGCACGCTAGTATTCGGATCATAGAAGACATGTACCGAACCGTCAGCACTACCAGTTATTATTTGATTTATTTTCGAGTGCCAAAGCACACGGACAACGGTCGATTGTGTGATGTTCATTGTACGGACGGGTTGGAGAGAATCTTTGTCAAGCATTAATAGCTTGCCATAACCAGCACCCTTCTTGGTAGCTGTCCCAGTAAGAAGCAATCGCTCATCTGGACTGAAGATTATGTTTGTTTCGGGATTAAGCGTGGGTAAGTCGTTCACCTGAGATACCACTTTTTTGAAATTACGTGTGTCCCAGACTATGCGATTGACAAAGGCATGTTAGCACAAGAAATTCTGAGAAGTCTCTTGTCCATCCTATTCGTCTCTACTATTCTACTTACTCTTCACGGTGTCATCGCCGCCTCTTGTAACCACCGTCCAATTATTTCGTGAGAAAAGAATGCAAGATGTCTCCGAGTATGGCAGGTGTGCTTTTTCAATGGACTAGCATTAAAGTTAATTAGTCGTTGCTGATATAATTGTAACTGTTCAATCACTAGTAATTAATCAGCATTTGTTATCTTACATGAGATGGTCGTAAATATGGTCCATTCACGGGCCATAAGCAGAGCTGTCCATCTTGTGCGGCTAATTCACACAAAAACAACATAATGGATTAATATTAAATTCAAATATAGTATCCTACCCTTCCGCCCGTTTCTAATACATATTAGCTCGACACCTACCTCCAGCAATAAGTTTGGCGTCATGGTTCATTGTCACTGCTGTCACAGACGATCTTCCGCCTCTCTCCTTTGATTTATATACAATAATTTGTTTTTGTTTGCGCTTATTTTCAACATCCCAAATTCTATAATACGTTATATTATGTTAATAATAATTACAGGGGCAGATGTGTATTATTAGATCAGTTATAATCACCTTATCGTACTGTCAGCTGATGCCGTGAAGAATGTTTGTTTATCATGTGGGTGCCATCCGCCCGAAGTCAAAGAAGCAATATGACCGCTGAATCAAGAAAATACAAAAACATTTATTATAGGCAATGGCTAATAATCCAGGTACTTGTTCCCGTTCGAGCTGTAGTTACTTACACTGTATTTCTCATGTCTCTTATGTATGGATCTCCTTTGACATATTCTTCACTAGAAAAAGACGCGTTTGTCATTAATAGTCAACATCAGGAGTAGACCTTTTTTTTTTTCACTTACATTTCAAATCCATCACGATCATACAACTTGGCTCTTGCTGACCCGGATATTATCAAGAACGAGTCACCACTGGTACTATACTCTAGATGATGAATCTTGCATAGTACAGAGCAAACGTATGAATATTGTAGTCAAATTCGGTAAAATCCTAGCCCATGAGCATACACACCTGGTGATCCCCACACGGTTTGATGCTTCTAAATGGACGAAGTGATGCATCCATACCAGCAAAATCCCAAAATTTTGTGTCGAAATCGTATCCTCCACTAATTAGACGAGCTCCAGAGGGATCGAGAGTTAATGCTGAGACAGTCTATAACGAGAGAGGTACGAGAAGAAAAGTATGAGCATCATGAAATAATATGACAAAGATGAGTGAACACTAATACTATCATATCTTAACAATCTAGCAAATTTTCTTACTATCCTCATCAATTCCTTCGCAAACGACGAGATAGCTCACCTTAAAATGATCGTGTAATTTTATCTCATGAGAAATAGGCAGAGTGTCAAATATTTCTTCGTCGTCCAAACTTTCGTTATCATCCGAATCTGTCTCATAATATTCCGCCATTTTGACAGGATATTTTGCAGGGGAAGACTGTCCACTTTCATCTTTTATGCGTTTAATCTCAGGCTCAGTAATTTCTTGTTTTATATGCGTTGTCTGAATAACAGCAATCAGTATGAACATGATCAGAATACGCATGTCTTTCTCATATCTCAGTACTGGTGTATTTCGAGTCACGGTCCGAAGACAAAACACCGTTCTGCAGGAATTCATTCAAAATCTCAGTCTTTTACTAAACACATTACATACATCACCTTCCTTCCGTCTTGTTTTCTCAAAAGCGTCAGTTGTTATTACAGTCTTCTTCTGTAACCCAAATGAAGTAGGCAACATGGCCCTCAGTTTTGCAGCTTCATGATCTTCCGCTTCTTCGTCGTTATTACTTTCCAAGCTTTCGGATCTGGTTGATTTGGAAGTGAAACCAAGCGACTTGGGCAAATATTTTGATAATTCATCTTTACCGAACTACTTGTAGAGTGAAAAAAAAATTATATGAATGAGCAGGTGGGAGACTGCGTGAACGAGAACTAAACGTACGTACAAGAGACATATTATTTGGATAGAGTAGAAAGTGGGTGTGCCGATCCGTCAATAATGAAGAATCAGCGAAATACTAATACGGTGGCACCTCTATATATCGATACAGTGCAACCGAAGAAGGATTTGGAATTTTCCTTTAAAGGAAAGATTTTCACGAACGTTTGGCATGTATCGCACTAGACGATAATATATTTTCTGCTGGTCAAGCTTATGTTGCGATACACTGTGGAAAATCTCAAGATATCACTACTGGTAAAAGAAACATTCAAAAAATAAAATTTAAACTTTAACTAATACTAACTAACATGATCAGTTTAAATACAATTGAGTTTTCAAATTCTTTACATGGGTTTAAATAGAATTGATGTTTGCTGCTTTACTCGAATACTGAATAAAATATTGAAGTGTATAAACATAAATTTCCAACAAACTTTCATAATGTTGTTGCAATTGTTGCTTAAAAACACTGGTTGACACACACATAAAAACTTACCTAGTTCAAATCAATAAAATTTGATTGAGCTAAATTTTAACTTATGCTATAAACATATACACTAACACTATAATAAGTGAGATTTCTCTTTTTATCTTGTATAGTATAGAAACCTTAACCTATTACTATGGGGATTTTTTGTCTCCACTATAATATATAAAGAGTTATGCACATACATAGTAATAGTGAACCTGGATATAACAAAACCTGAATAAAACGAATTTCGACTATAACAAAGTTTTTTCAATGTCCCAAAACCTTTGTCTAATAGATATAACAAAGAAAAAGGTTGGAACGGACCACTTCGTTATATCCAGTATTTCTAAATTTTGTAAGTGCACCAATTTTCTGTTTGCATACTTAATACTGTACCTCTAATGTGCATAATAATTCTCAATACAGACACATTAGTAGTTATAGTTAGTCACAAATGATTAAACAAATTAATTTATTTTTGTAACTGAAAATATTTCCCAGTCAACCCATTTAAAATTATCTGAGGTAGACCTGATTGGAATCTGGTATTAGTATGCTGATCTTTTAGAATAGGGTTCAACTAAAATTCCGCCAAAATGTAAATCAATTCCATTTACAAAACAAGAATAGATAGTTATGTTGATATTCAAAAACAGCATGCTAACCTTCAACAACAAACTCACTATTATTATGGAAAATTTTATGGAACCTGAAGGGCTTCATTGTAGGGAATGATAAAAAAGACATTTGCATCTTTAGAGTATGAAAATTAAAGTGGGGACTTTTGTTCCATACAAACCATCAAAACATGCAAATTAGTCTCTGCCAATATACATAAAAATTGATATCCAGCCAATCATGTTCTGAGTTTATTATTATTATGCCATAGACTGCATTTAATAGTCTATTGTTAATATCATTTCTCCTATGCTAATGCTTATTTCACTATATATATAATAGCCTTCAATGTAATTCTGCACATTACATGTTCTTATCAGCTGTTTTTGATTTCATCCTTTTCTTTTTCTAGTGATAAATGAAGTTTCTTCTGTGTATTAACATCTCCTTGTTCAGCTGGTTTTTGATAGAATTCAACTGCCTTTTTATTTTCAATGTCTTTTTCTACTCCAGTTCCATGCTTATAGTAATCACCAAGGTCAAATTGTGCAGTAACTAATCTTGTTCAGCTGCTTGTTGGAATATTCCAACTGCCTTTTCACCATCTTGCTCTACTCCATTTCCTAATAAATAGCAAATGCCAAGAAAAATTTGTGCAATAGCATCTCCTTGTTCAGCTGCTTGTTGGAATATTTCAATTGTCTTTTCACCATCTTTCTCTACTCCAATTCCTTCTAAATAGCAAATGCCAAGAAACATTTGTGCAATAGCATGTCCTTGTTCAGCTGCTTGTTGTAATATTTCAACTGCTTTTTCAGCATCTTTCTCTACTCCAATTCCTCCAAAATAGCAAATGGCAAGAAATATTTGTGCAGTAGCATGTCCTTGTTCAGCTGCTTGTTGGTATAATTCAACTGCCTTTTCAACATCTTTCTCTACCCCAATTCCATTTGCATATCTAAAGCCAAGTTTCAATTGTGCACTAGCATTTCCTTGTTCAGCTGCTTGCTGGTATAATTTGACTGCTTTTTCAACATCTTTCTCTACTCCAATTCCATTTT